AGCCCCGTGAAGCCGTGGTTTACAGTGAATTTATAACAGCTAAGATTTGATTTTAGTGGGGGTAAACAATTAAAACAACGACTCTTAGCTGTTATAAATTCACTGTAAACCACGGCTTCTTGGGGATTATTGCTTTATTAAAAAGAAAACTGAGCATAAACATAAAAGCCAATTCATAATATTAACAAATGCTGTGATAGTATAAGTGATATTAAAATAACACTGGTGTAGCAAACAGGATAAAAATGGTCATTTAGCTGAAATCTACATCTCTTTGTTGCCAGTGCTCATAACTTGTTTGCAATCACATGTAGGACTTGGAGGAAGCAAGTACATCTCCTTTGAGGAGCGCCAGTGGCACAACGACTGTTTCAACTGCAAGAAGTGCTCAGTGTCTCTGGTGGGCAGAGGTTTCCTCACCGAGAGAGATGACATCCTGTGTCCTGAGTGTGGCAAAGACATGTGAAAGCGTGCAAGAAACAGTCCAAGCATGCATGACATGCTTGAAATGTTCAAACCAAAGCATTGGCAAAGCATGAAACAGTGTGAACAATGAATACATTTAGGTACTCCATGGAAACATAGTAAACATTGTTGTAGCAAAGATTATAATAGTGTATGTATAGCAAGAGGCAGATTTTCTTTATTTCAGGAGAGTTATTTCAGCATGTGTTAACATGAAGACTGAGGAAAAATTCTAAAGATTAAACAGTAAAAGTGAGGATACCATTAATATCTCTTTCAAATGTCTAACCAGCTCTCTGATGTGTTGCATAACCCATGTCTTAACTTGCAAAAAAAAGTATTTTGGTCTTTTTGTGTATCTAAAAGTTAAGGATGAATTCTAAATAAAGTACATATGCAATATCAGTAAAGCTTATTAAAACAAATAGACTACATGTTTTTTGTTTCTCTAATTGAATGGCATGAACTGAACTATTGCACTAGCAAGCACTCAGTACAGCTCAAACAATAAAACAGGACAATAGAGCCACCTAGTGTTGACAATGTCCCTGCAAAACAATGTGCATCCTCTTATAAAATATATTCTGTCAAAAACTTTAATTATTATGCTTTTATGCTTGAAATGAGTTCTGCAGACTAATGTAAACTGTGCCTAGGTTTGAATTTCTTGCGGCTGGAGCACATAGTGAAGGGAAAGCATTCAACAAGTGTTTCACATCCATTTGCATCGTTTTATAGTTTTGATGACTTAGTTCTTATTACTATGTTTAACATTTTAGAATAAGCTGCGTTTGGTTCATATTGTAATAGGATTTGGTAATAGGAATTCAGGAAAACATGCAAACTTCACTTTTCCCCTGGGGAAGGAGAAATGTTTCATTCTGTGATTTCAATGTCTTCTCTGGGACAAAAGCCTGAGAAGCAACTGCATGGAAAACAGGCATCTCTATTCTTTAATAAGAGACAGTGGAGTGTTTGAAAGCAGAACAGAGAGAGACAAGACTGAGAGATGAGTGACAGAATGAGAGAGCTGATAGAGAGAGTGTGAGCTGACAAGAGCGAAAGAGAACAAAGTGGAAGTTCGGTGAGCTCTGACTGGAGTTACAAGACCTACAAAGAAATGAAACAATGCTGAAAAGATGAAACGGACAAATCTAGCAGCACAATAGAAGCCATTATTGTGGAAAAACAGGTAATTGGCCAACACTCAAAAAGGCTTCGTGCACTTTGCTCATTATGACCATTTCTTCACCGATTGACAGGAAATCTCTGCCTAAACCTGGATCAAGAACAACCAGGCTTGTGCACCATTCAGAACTAAATGTGACCCTGGACCACAAAACCGCTGGGGTATATTTGTAGCAATAGCCAAAAAAAAATTCATTGTATGGGTCAAAATTATCGATTTTTCTTTTATGCCAAAAATCATTAGGATATTAAGTAAAGATCATGTCCCATGAAGATATTTTGTACATTTCCTACCGTAAATATATCAAAACTTCAGTTATATGCATTGCTAAGGACTTTATTTGGACAACTTTAAAGGCGATTTTCTCAATATTTAGATTTTTTTGCACCCTCAGATTACAGATTTTCAAATAGTTGTATCTCAGCCAAATATTGTCCCATCCTAACAAACCATACATCAATGGAACGCTTATTTATTTAGCTTTCGGATGATGTATAAATCTCGATTTCTAAAAATTTACACTTAAGACTGGTTTTGTGGTCCAGGGTCACAAATATCATTTAAATTAATTACAAAACTCCAAAAATGTTTGGGTCAGTAATTTTGTAGGGTGCATTAACTATTTAAAAAGTGAAAAGCATATTAGAATGATTTATGAAAGATCACATGACACTGAAGACTAGAGTAATGATACTGAAAACTCTTTGCATCACAGGAATAAAGACATTTTAAAATGTCAAAACAGCAAACAGATATTTTAAATTATATATAAATACAGGATTACTGCTCTTATTGTATTAAATGCAGCCTTGGTGAACATGAGAGACCTAGTTCAAAAACACACATATACAGTATATACATAAAAGATGTTTACATTTAGTCCACAAGACAAAAAATTGCTGAACTTATTAAAATAACCTTTTGAAGCTTTTGGAATTTGAAGATAAAGGTAAATTGTACTTAATTTGTCTTCCGGGAAACATGCAAGTATCTTCTGTTGCTTCCGAAGGGCAGTACTAAATGGAAAAAAACATTTCAGCAAAATAAGAAAAAATTGGGATATCTTCATTCGGCTCTTAATGCATCATGTTTCCTTCTGGAGCATCAGTGAATGTTTAAACCTTTTTTTAATAGTTGTGTTTGAGTCCCTCAATTGTCCTCAGTGTGAAAAGATGGATTTCAAAATCATACAGTCACTGCTGGAAAGGGTTCAAATATGCAAAAGAAGCTGGAAAACTGAAGAATCTTCAGCACATGGAGGATTTTTCTGAGGAAAAAAAACAGTGCTCAGTTTAACTGTTCAGAACAAACAAGGGACTCACGAACAACCATCACAAAACAAAAAACAGTGGTAGATCATCCAGGTAACCACACACTAAGGGTTCCCAAACTTTTGAATGGGGTTATTTTAATAATTTCAGCTATTTTTTTGTCTTGTGGACTAAATGTATACATATTTTATGTAAAATATCTTACTCAGGACAGTACTAAATAAAAAAATAACAGGCATTTTGCATGATCTCTCTTATTTTGTTAAAATTATACACATTTTGACAGATGCTGCAAGGGGTTCCCAAACTTTTGCATGCCACTGTGTATATACAGTGGGGAAAAAAAGTATTTAGTCAGCCACCAATTGTGCAAGTTCTCCCACTTAAAAAGATGAGAGAGGCCTATAATTTTCATCATAGGTATACCTCAACTATGAGAGACAAAATGAGAAAAAAAA